CCGTGTAAAAGTTGGGGTGTCTAGGCGACGTTTCGACGAGGTCTCACTCGTCATCTTCAGGCTGGTGCTTTCGGCTTCTTGTTACTGGAACAGCTCTGTTCCAGTAACAAGAAGCCGAAAGCACCAGCCTGAAGATGACGAGTGAGACCTCGTCGAAACGTCGCCTAGACACCCCAACTTTTACACGGGAAGACACCCGAGGACACCAAAACCTGCATTCCTGTACCCGTGAAAATCTACGAAAGCAAATATATATATATATATATATATATATATATATATATATATAATCTACGAAAAGCATATATATATATATATATATATATATATATATATATGCTTTCGTAGATTTTCACGGGTACAGGAATGCAGGTTTTGGTGTCCTCGGGTGTCTTCCCGTGTAAAAGTTGGGGTGTCTAGGCGACGTTTCGACGAGGTCTCACTCGTCATCTTCAGGCTGGTGCTTTCGGCTTCTTGTTACTGGAACAGAGCAGGATCTCAGTGTTTGAGTTCCTATAAATACTGTTGAGGGGGTGTGGTGTATAGCCTCCAATGTTCTGGGCAGAGAGGAAGTTCCCAGGTTAGTGTGCCTTTTCTATATATTGTGTCTAGATCTTAATGTACAATGGCATTCTTCCACAACTCATATTGTCAGAAGTATGTACAATGGCATTCTTCCACAACTCATATTGTCAGGCCATATGCAAGCTCTTCCATATATATAAATCTACGAAAGCATATATATATACTTTTACACGGGAAGACACCCGAAGACACCAAAACCTGCATATATATATGCAGAAACCCCAAGGATAAAATCCAGTTGGAAAACCAAGGGGTCTATGAAATACCCTGCAAAGTCTGCCCAGCCACGTACATTGGACAAACAAACAGACGAATAAATGCACGTATCGCAGAACACAAGAATGCCGTCAAAAAAGAAGAAAAAACTTCCTCTCTTTTCCAACACATGAAAGAAACAGGACACGAAATTAATTTTGCAGATTCCAAATTGCTCTCTAACATGGAACATCACCACAAGAGAATAATCATGGAAGCCATCGAGATAGAGAAACACCCTCACAACATGAACAAGCGTGACGACACATCCCGCCTGCCAGACATCTGGAAATTAGCCCTCCCCACAAAAACCGACACCAGATCCAGAGGCACACAGAACGCCATCACCAATCAACCACACCAGACCCAAACCCAGACCCTCTCCACAGATAAATTACAGACACCATCCAGTAGCCAAACCATGGTGGCACCTCCGGATGCTGCACCCCCCTGCAATCCCTACACAGATCTGGCTGGCACAGGACACAAAACCACAGCTCGCCCCTATACACGAAGCCAAGCCAGAGCACAACTAATTGCAGTACAGCCATCTTCTCAGAAAAACTCTTCACAAAGTTCAAGAGGTCAAGACACGAAGGCTTTAGCAACTAATCCACACCTAATGACCCACCTAAGTGGTACTCAGGATATCACTCAAGAAATCACTCAAGATATCCCTCAAGTAATTAAGGAACAAAAGAAGAAAAGGCACACTAACCTGGGAACTTCCTCTCTGCCCAGAACATTGGAGGCTATACACCACACCCCCTCAACAGTATTTATAGGAACTCAAACACTGAGATCCTGCTCTGTTCCAGTAACAAGAAGCCGAAAGCACCAGCCTGAAGATGACGAGTGAGACCTCGTCGAAACGTCGCCTAGACACCCCAACTTTTACACGGGAAGACACCCGAGGACACCAAAACCTGCATTCCTGTACCCGTGAAAATCTACGAAAGCAAATATATATATATATATATATATATATATATATATATATATATATATATTGTGTCTAGATCTTAATGTACAATGGCATTCTTCCACAACTCATATTGTCAGAAGTATGCCACAGCAACAGTATATCTGACAGCATAACTACACCAAAACAAAAAGTAACAACTCAAGCATTAGTTCCAGCATTTCCTGTCCAGTACCGTGCTGTTATGTTTTTGTGTGTAAACCAAAACCCATTGTGTAAATACGTGTAACTAGTCTAGGCTAACTTAATAGGGCAGGGAAATGTTGCTGGTCAGATCTGGTTCTGAGACAGAATTCCCTCTTTCTCAAGATGAAGTCTTCCGCAGCTTCTTTTGAAGGTTCTTAGAAGATTTTGTTTTTCTTTCTTAGAAAAAGGTCTTTTGATCTCACATAACATTTAGATAATGTGTGAGATCAAATAGCCTTTTTCCCAGAGAAAAATACAGCTCTTAAAACTTCAAAAGCCGCACTGGAGGTTGAGGTACTTTTTACTCATTTGAAGTGAAACCCAAAGGGCATCCATGAGCTGCACTCCCAGTACTCCTGTACTTTACAGTCCTCTCAATACAGGCTCTAATAAAAACTTGCAAGTGAGGTAAGCCATGTGAAAACATGTTGCAATAAAGAAATACAAACTGATACCCATAAAACTGCATCATTAGATACATTTTTTTCCATTGGCAGAAATGGTGTATTGTGCTTGTTTGCATATCTTTCATCTTGCTGAAAAGACAATATTAAAAAATGAAGAGGCGACATATATTTCAAAACTATTTTTGGATTTTTATCATATGTAAGAAATGGAAGGGACGCGGGTGGCGCTGTGGGTAAAACCTCAGCGCCTAGGACTTGCTGATCGCATGGTCGGCGGTTCGAATCCCCGCGGCGGGGTGCGCTCCCGTTGCTCGGTCCCAGCGCCTGTCAACCTAGCAGTTCGAAAGCACTCCCGGGTTCAAGTAGATAAATAGGGACCGCTTACCAGCGGGAAGGTAAACGGCATTCCGTGTGCTGCGCTGCCTCGCCAGATGCAGCTTGTCACGCTGGCCACGTGACCCGGAAGTGTCTGCGGACTGCGCTGGCTCCCGGCCTCTAGAGTGAGATGAGCGCACAACCCTAGAGTCTGGCAAGTCTGCATCCAGGCTGCTCCTAGGACACATGCTGCCTTCTTTTAAAAATAAGGTTCACAAGATCAGCTGTTGAGCAGATTGGGGGTGGATTTGATGTGGACTCATCTCAGAAAAAGATCATTATTGAAACTGAAAAAATAGCATAAGAAAAGGGCAAGCAAAATGGCCGTGATTGCTGCTGGTGCATCTTCCCTATGAGGAATATCTGGAGTGTTTGGGACTCTTAGTTCCAGAGAAAGAAAAAGACAATAATGTAGAACAATAGAATTGCAGAGCTGGAAGGGACCACACCCTGTAATGCAGGAATCTTCTGCCCAACATGGGGCTCAAAACCCACAACCCTTAGATTATGAGTCTTATGACTGAGCTACTGTATCCCAGTACTGTAGATCAGGAAAACTTCTTCTTCCACTCCCATTGTGTTAGAACTGTGGGTCATTCCTTGAAGCTGATTGTCTGTAATTAAGACAAAATAAAGTACTTCTTCACCCAGTGCATGCATATGGAATTAATGACCACAAAGTGTGCTAATGGTCACTGCCTGAGATAGGTTTAAAAGAGAATTAAGAGTTGGAAAAACCCATGGAGGATAGATCTGCCAGTGGATTTTAGATATGAGGTTCCGCTTAAAGGTCTTAAGTTCAGAGGCTGTGTGCCACTGCATTCCAGTTCGCAAGGGGCAGCATTGTGAGACTGCTATGCTGCTATTGTTGTTGTTGTTGCTGTTGTTTTTGTTTTATTGAATTTATATACCACCCTATACCTGCAGTGGTTCACCCTTAGTCTGATCTAGCAGAGTAAGCATAGTTGTTTCTTTGTTTTATGGGTGTATACCTCACTCTTCAACAAGTTCCAAATATGGCTTTAAAAATGGGTTTAAAATGCAGTAGAACATATTAAAACACCACAGTTTCAAATAGTAAATGAAAAGCAGCATGCAGAAATAAAACAGGTCAGATTTATTTAAAAAATAATAAAAAAGGAGCTTGCCTGTCAACAAAATGATTTCAGAGTTTATTGTGTCCCCTTCCCAATTTCATTCTTCATTCCTCATCCAGAAACTGGTTTGACTGAGATGACTTGACTTAAATTCTGCCTCAAATGAAATAGGCTCATTCAGATTACAACTGAAATGTTTTTGTGCTTTTTTTTTGTTTTTTCATTTTGATAAATACATCGTTAGAATTTAATTTGGAAAGGGGGGTTAAATGTTAAAAAAAAAAGCAACATACAGTTTTGCTGAAGTGTTGAATGGAGCTGCATCAGATATCATAATTCAAGAATGTTGCAACTACAAACAAATTGTTTTCTCCAGACTAGTAATTTTATGGGAATCTAACAGGATCACTCTGGAGTAAGTATGTTGTTTGTGGAAATTATTTGTGTAATTATAAATATATCATCTAGGGAAATCAACAAGAATATCTCTAAATTTGCAGCAATTCCATACTCGTTAATGTAGTATTTTCTGTGGACAGAAATGGGAAGGCAGGGAAGGAACACATTGTTGTGATGTTCAGAGTGTGCTGTACTGCGTGTCCCTTTCTGACATGTCCCTGTTGTCCTTTAATCATTATACAATAGCCGCAGTACAGGGGCCACATGAGAATTAATGCTGTTTTTCTGAATCATTACCTTCTAATGAGATTGCTGCTTGCAAACCCATGAACTCTGCACAGAACACTGCCTCTCAGAGCAGCTGGTTCCCAGTTCTGCTCAGCCCTATTCCCAAATCTGACCAAGTCTGATGGGGGCGGGGAGTTCTTTTCTTGTGACACCAAAAGAGTTGTCAAAGTGTTTTACTTCCACTCAGGATTTCACTTGCAATTTTGGAAGCAGCTTCATATGGATTCATCTGAAATATATTTCAATGTACTTTCCTCCTGTGTTTCAGTGGACTCTCTTCATTACTGCTGTACACAATTAAAAGTAGTTAACTGTGAGTAAAGTATGCTTAATTCACAAGACTGTGTGTGATTATAGTGGTTTGAAATATGTAACACCGATGTGAATTGGGCAATAGAATTTATAACATTTTATTCATCTTTCAAGCTCCAGACCAGTTTGACTGAACCTATGACATTACCCAAGTCAATCTCGCTTCCTCGTAGTGCATACTGGCATCACATCACTAGGCAGAGCAGCGTGGGAGAAATCTACAGTTTACAAGGTAAGATACTTGAATATTAAAATGGTATGTCCATTAGCTTCTCTCACATTGAGCAAAACTCATGCAAATTGCTTTCATCTGCACTGGCGGTTTTCTCTCCATTTCAATTACTAAGGTTTGTCATCAAACTCAGTAGGGGTGGTGAGATATGCTTCCTCCCAACCCACCACTGTTTTAATAAAGAAAACACACACCTTCTTCTTCTAATGGTGTATATTATTACCAGAAATCTTGCATAGGTTGAGAAGTCAATTTGACAGTTCAGCTTTTAAATGGAATATATGTATAATGTGTGACTTCTCAGTATCTAATGAGGAAGGGTTGTATGGAATTTCTCAGAGGAAACAATTTGCAGTTAGAGAAGATTTGATTTTGTTTAAACTGGCACATTCCCCATACATTTTGGCCATTTCCCAGTGAAAAATAAATAGGCAATTACTGCAGTGCCTTGTCAAGTATAGAAGGAAAGGTGAGTGTTCTGTATGCAGGAGACGTCTCTTTGACAAAAGCCTGTTGCTAGTCTAGGAAAAGCACACATTCTCTGACTGATAAAGAAAACAAGGTGGTGGGAGTGGTCTTCTGCAAGCAACTAGGCAAAAGAAGCACTGCTAACTCTTCCAGGTTTACTTGCTACTCTTTGGGAATGAGGCATGTGGTAGCCAACTACTGGACCACAATACCTCAAGGATTGCTTCTCTCCATATGAGCTTACCCAGGCCCAGAGATCATCCTCTGAGGCCCTTCTTCATAGGAATGCTTGAAAAGTCACTAAGAAATATCTTGAATTCACCGTGTTGGTTGGACAGTAATCTGCTCTCAGTTGCTTCCTGGATTTATTTAAATTAAAATGGTTAACTCATCAAAAGAAGGGTGCCCTATATACACAGTAACATGAATAATTCCTTCAATAATAAGTTCATGACTTTCGGGTGTGGTGATTTGAAGGTAGAACAGTTGAGGCTTCAGTGTCCTCAAACCTGGCTTAAAAATTCACATTGTGAATGGTTACTTATTCGTGATGAATTTTTAAAAAAGCAGTCTCCAAATTCTCCCTAAGCTCTTGGCCCTGTATGACACTGTTGTGATTCGTGTAACAGTTGATGAAAATCTGTGCTCCAAAAAGGAATCAGGAAGGGAGTGCATGATCCCATGGTTTGCTAAATATTCAGGAGTGTTATATCTGCACAGGGATATAAAGAGAATGTCACAGATAAACCTTTCATAGAATAATAGCTTCCATGTAATTTCACAAATTGGTTATGTCAACACAAAATTTAGTACTTTGCTCTGTTAATATACATGGTTGTAATATATATATATATATAAAAAAAACAACCATTGGATAAAAACCCACTCTGCAAGACAGTTTGGAGACTATGATCAGTTACTGGCAATTCATGAAATACTCAATTTAAGCAGTCAGCTTGTTTACATTCTGTGTGCTTTCATGTGACTAGGCAAATCACTATTGTTCATGCACATTCTTTGTTCAATTCACATGAACTATGACAACGTACATATATATATATGCTGAAGATATGTTTATGCAGTCAATTTTTAAACCAGGGACTGGTTTCAGAAAATATAGGACATATGGGTTATGTTGCCCAAAGGAGTAGTTAACTGTTTTTTGATAGTGTAGTAGTGTTGTTTTTAAAGGATGTTTGTTTCCCTTTGAAAAATATTTTCCCCCTTAAATTAACCTCAGCAGGTGGCCAGCTTGTGAAATTGTTCAAAAGACAGCATATATGTGTATGGTAAAGCATGTGGTTTTATACCATGAATTCAACTGATCATGTAACCCGCTGCATTTTTTTAGAACAGACTCCTAAAGTAAACACACTATGTGAGCATCAAGGCAAGTTAAATTGTTTCATTTTCTCTTCTCTGCAACTCATTTGAAATAAAACAATATTTCCATTTGGTGAAGAGGAATCATATGCTGATTCCTTGGTTTGAAAATTGGCCAAGATGAATAATTTAGGCTTCAATCCTATATATATTTACCTGGGACTATGCCCCATTGATCTGTAAAATACACAAATCCTCTTTCATAATGTGTGTGTGTCTGTGTGTAAAGGAATGAAGCTCAAACTGATGATGAAAGGATTTAAGAGTCTTGGCACAAGGAAACGAATAAATATATCATAATGACATAGAAACACTAACAGGCCTAGCTCACCACTTGTACGTGCCAACACCAGATATTTTATTATCCATTACATCAATCATGTAATTGCAACTTTTTTTTCTGCACAAGAAATTGTTCAAATGCAGCCCAAACATTTGCATAAGTGCAATACATTGGCATGTATACATTTTTTTTTCAATGGATAAATCTGTTAACTTGCCTTTTCTAGACAGGTTTAGGAGTTTTCCTGCAAACATTGAATGCATCATTGAGGTGCACTTGAATAATAATTAACCAGCTTGCATGCTATTTTCTTAAATGAGTGTAGTAATAAGCACAAATAATCTTTCTCTATAGCTACCTACCTAGCTAGCTAGCTTTTCCACTCATCAGAGCCATTCAATTTCCCCCTTTGTGTTTAAAATCTGGTTGACTTTCTATGGCAGTACAATCATTTCGAATGCCAAAGTCGATGGGGGTATGGGAAACTACCACCCATAGCCTGCTTTGGCCCCTAGTTTCTTAATGAATGACTCTAAAATTTAATGTTTTGAATGGAAAAAATAAAACAGAATGTGGTTTTCTTTGGAGAAATAAATAAAAAGTACTTCATAGCCATTTGGATGAAGAAGTATAAACCTGATATCCAAGCCAAATTTCCTTCATGCTATTTGTATTGATTAGAGTAGAGCTTAAACCCTTTACTCTGATATTTATCAATAGAAATGTTTAATGAAATTAATACTTTAGGTCCAGCCTTAAAGTTTTTTATGCAAACAGTGCCACCAGGCAATTTAGTTGCCTCATATTTACTTAAGTGCTGCTATGACGTTCTGCCAATATCTGTTCAGCTGGCTTAGCTCTAGCTGAGACAGGATGAGGGCGTTACACTGGTGTATCTCTGGCTAAGCCAGGGTTGGGGGACGTAGATCAGTACCACCTTGGTGAGCTGGGAATCTGCTGGCTGAGCTAGAGATCCACCACATCCTTACTTGTTCATCCCTGTGGATCTATGTTTAGGATCACACCCTTAGTTTTTAATTTCTGCTCTTCAAGCTGTTAGTTGCATTACTAAGACCTTTTCTTGTATTTTTGTAATTATTTCTGAAATTGATCATTTTGAAATCTGCTACCAATGCATGTAAGCGTTAATATAAGTTTCATTGTTGAATAAAATGAAATATAAGATATTAATGATTTCACCCAAGTACAAAACACAAAGCAGAATGAATACTTGCTGCAAAATCATGACTGGATTTTTCTTTATTTTTTTAAAAAGCATTCCGTTACAAAACATTAAAAAACTTGCCTGAGTCATTCTGTTCAGTCCTCATGTAGGCTAATCCTGTGGGCATTTCCTTTGCGCATCTGTAGTTCTCTGCAAATTAAAGTGTGTTAACAGAATTGCAGGGGCATTCATCATTTTGGCATATCCACTGTGTGTTCATATTCACAGAAACTGCTAAATTTATTCCTTCATCCTACTGTGACTCTGAAACAATATAAAATGTTTCAGTATGGTTGCTTTTGGGCATTATGATATACCATGGTTCATTGTCATGGGCACATGTTTTCTTTTCCCCACCCCACTTCTCCTTGGAAGGAAGGCTTCAGATACTTCTGTTTCTATTCTTAGGTGAGCACAGCGTGCCGTTTCATTTGAACCTTAGCTTGTTTCAAAGAAATCATAGTTACAATCAAACACCAAACCTTAAGTCAGGCATAGGCAAACTCGGCCCTGCAGATGTTTTGGGACTACAACAGTGGTCAGGGATGATGGGAGTTGTAGTCCCAAAACATCTGGAGGACCGAGTTTGCCTATTCCTGCCTTATGTCATGAAACTGGTTTGTCTTGACAAATCATAGTGAAAGTTTAGGGAATACACCTTTCATAATAGTCCATGCTGAGTGAGTTCCAGCTGTTCAATCTCATGCCTTCTAGCCACTTAGTGAACAAGAGGCTTATGGACTTAGTGGTCCAGCAGACATTTGTTTTTAGGTTTTTTCATGCATTTCCTGGTATCTTGTCATAATATCATCACTAGACAGCACATCAAAATGTGTTGCATCAAGTCTTTCTTTGCTTCACATGGTCTGGCAATACTATTCCACATATTCCAGAGGACGGTAAGATACAGAAATGCAGAGTGAGACTTTACAGGTTATATAATATACTTTTCAGCAACAGTAACAAAAAAGGATTCCTTAGATTCAACCTCCCACTCCACGCACTCACACTGCTATCACTAGTGGTATATTAGCAACCCTGCCTTGCATGTCTGCACCAGTTGGGAGATGGTTCAGCAACTGGGCCTAATGCCATTGTACGACAGTTGTGTGACCAGCTTCAGATCAGAGGCAGATTTAGGCAGTGTGACTGGTTCCACTGCAGTGGCAGCACCAGGTCTAGGGGACACCGCAGGGCATCACTACTACGACACAGTAAACTGAGCAGAAAGGAAGGTGAGAGGCAGGGGTGCCAAATTTTGGCCGCGCAAAGGGTCTGCTGAAATTTGAAACCAGAGTCCAGCCCTGTTCAGATCCAATAGATCTCAGGCCAGCTAGACCCTCCCTCTCCCCAGAATGCTGAGTGAGTTCCAGCTGTTCAATCTCTTCTTCCATGGTTGCTGCCAGTGCGCATCTCACTTGTGGCACTCCCCACACCACACCACACCACTCACATTTGGCAGGTGGAAGGGGGGGATGATGCACTAATAGCTTAGCCTGAATAGTTGGGAAGAGGATCATCCTCTCCATCTCCATCCCATTTCTAGGGCAAGAGAAGTATATTCTCTGAATGGAGGAATAGAACATCATCATTATAGTCTTGATTATCATATGTTAAGTAATCTGGAAACCAGCCTCAGTA